GTATGTTCTTGCCGCCCCAAGTGTTCTATCAACCCCTTCGTGGCTGGAAGGCAATGAATCTGATTACGCACTCGATGCAGGGCTCTGGACTGCTTGCAAAGAATCAAGAGAAGTCGTCAAACGGCACTACAAGATCGAGATCTGCAAGCAGGAGAGACTTAAGCTACTTCAATCAAAAGGTTTAAGCTCTCCCGAATTTGAACATTTACGCGTGCCTAGACTCTCGGACACTGTCGAATCAAGAACGAAGACATGTCGTTTCTGGTTTATCCACTTCAAGATCTTATCTGTTTTCAAATCGCAGACAAACAACACATTGGCGCAGGACTTTATGCCGATGACGTGCGCCATTATCGCCCCTACGGATTGCCTTTCTGGGCCGCAGTGGCGGGCCATAATGATGTTGTTCCGCAGATTGCATTTGAATACGACGCCTTATGGGAGTTTGACAACCGAGTAAGGAATGATGTATTTTTACAGGAGGCAGGCTGCAGCCGAGCATGCTTTCTTCATGCGTTGAGGGCTGCTGCACATCTATATCGGCCTATGAGACTATTTCTAATTGATCGTGGGATAGCTGACCAGGTGGACATTGAGAACTTGACTCATTGCGAGTTCGAAACCGATGAAAACAGGTACTACAGAGTGACCTCGAGCGATATTACTCATTCGCAGCAGGGTAGGAATGCCCTGGACTTTGTGGAGTCTGTCAAAAGCTTTTGGTCATGACGTTCAGGTGCTCACAGCTGTTGCTAAGTAGGACAGGTAAACAGCGACATCTCAGTAATAGGCGAAATCACACTACATGAATCCGACTTCACAAAGAACATGAGAAACCCGTTGGAGACGGAAGAACAAATTCTTAGCGAACAACTCAGCAAGATATTGGACGGAATAGAGAATACTGGTATATCCCACCACCCACACAGCAGAGTGCCCCTGAAAATCTGAGATTGGTAAAAAGCCGAAGAAAACACTCAATTACATCTCATGCACATAACTTTGCCTTGGATTTGACAGTGGCCATCACATATCAATGTCAACGACTAGCTCCATAGGTCACTGTCAAGTTTCGATTCGTGGAAGAAGCAGTCACGCGGCTCGTTCCTTCCTAATCCGGTACCGGCCTTGGCTGCTTGCCAAGATGTCACATCCCGCTCTCACTGCCGTGATATCTGAATGGCGCGCTTCTCTCCCCACGAAACGGAACCAGAGTCGCCGTTGTGAGTAATTCTTCCGTGGGGCGCTTCGTGGGCAAGATGACCGCGTATGTTGCGCATGGCGCGCGTGGCAGCCATACGGAAAATAAGAGTACCGTGACAACAGAGATACAAAAAGACGATGTTTCGACGGCTATTTGCCATTTTTGTTTCAAACCCAGGCAATCAATTCCTTCTTTACCTTGTTCCTTGACCCACGTTTCTGGTCTCTCAGGCGTCGAAGTAGCGAGTCCTTGAGAAATCAGCCACTTCAGAGCTTCTTACCACAAAGATCGGCAAAGGACCCCACAACTCTATTCAAGATGTTGCCCATGTGGAAGCAGCTGATCGGCAGCTTCCTTGCTGTCGTTTCCATAGCCCCGGGTGCTAATGCAGCATACCCCAACCCAGGCGCGGTCTCTGGCAGCATCAACGTCCATGACCCAAGTGTTGTCAAGACTAGCAGCGGCACATATCTAATGGCCCACACCGGAACGAACATCGCGCTCAAGACTTCCACCGATCGCACTGTCTGGCGCGATGCCGGCGCTGCGTTCCCGAATGGCGCATCGTGGACGACGGCTTATACGGGCGGCGACACCAACCTCTGGGCTCCAGACATCTCCTACCGCAACGGGCAGTACTACATGTACTACTCCGCGTCGACGTTCGGATCTCAGAAGTCCGCTATTTTCCTGGCGACGAGCAGCACGGGCGCGTCGGGATCGTGGACCAACCAGGGCCTGGTGATTGAATCGTCGAGCTCCGTCGACTACAACGCCATCGACCCTAACCTCTACGTCGACCCGTCAGGAAACTGGTGGTTGTCCTTCGGCTCCTTCTGGACGGGCATCAAGATGATCTCCATCAACCCGAGCACCGGAAAGCGCTCAGGGACGAACCTCGTCTCTCTCGCTCGCCGCACCGTTGCTGACGGCGCCATCGAAGCACCCTTCATCACTCGTCACGGAAACTACTACTACCTGTGGGTGTCTTTCGACAGATGCTGCAACGGTGCCGCCAGCACCTACCGCACCATGGTCGGTCGGTCCACCAGTGTGACGGGTCCTTATGTCGACAAGAGTGGTGTGCAAATGATGAACGGTGGTGGAACCGAGGTGATGGCTACTCATGGCTCGATCTATGGCCCTGGCCATCCTGCCGTCTTCACAGACACGGATGCTGATGTGTTTGTTTACCACTACTACAACAGTGCCAACGCTGCGCTCTTGGGAATCAACCTCATTCGTTATGATTCGGATTGGCCCGTTATTTACTGATAGGGTAGGATTGATCATTGGCAGGGGCTTGGGACATTGTGGCTCGGTTTTGGGTTCATGTATATCCTTATCATCTCAATGATATATTCTTTTAGCATCCAAACATGGCTTGAGTCTCACTGAGTGTTGCATCAGCATTGGATGAGCCAGGAGACTGAGATAGGATGCGAAGATGTCTTCCCGCTCATCTAATGGCTAGTTTCTCAAATCGAGAGCACCCTTAGTAAGCCTTCGTCTTTCTTTCGGGCTGTGGATGTTAACAGGCGTGTCAATTATGCATGCTCCAAGTCGCTGAAGTCAAGATCGTGCCCCGGGTGATACCAAATGTTCCAGACAGGATGTGAGTGATCCAATCCGCTGATGCTTGAATTTGTACAGGAAATGAACTCTGCTAACATTACACATACACAAAAGGGGTATTTAATCCAGTCTTCTCCACCACAGCTCACCACGGTTGCCACCATCTCTTTGCGACGCAATGAGAAGAACCTTGCCATCTTCAAACAATGTGTAGTTGCGTCTCGCCTCGGTGCCAACCATGGAAGGGATGTTGGCGACGGTCAACGGGCCGTGGATGACTTGACCGGTTGTGAGAGTGGCGGGGAAGGCGTCACTAATACGCATAACGCCAGCGTATCCGATCGAGTGTCTGCCGACCTGAGCCCAATCCGCGTCGGTTTGGCTGTCTTCGTAAGGGAATGTGAGGTTGGCCGGGCGGTCTTCGGGGTCGGTCGATGTAATGGTGGCTGTTACGTAGCCGGACTTGCTGTATGTGAGGATGCCAACAGGGTTGGAACCGTAGACGCGGTCCTCGACGGGAACGCCATTGCTAGTCCTGTACGAGTCTAGTGTCAGCCGAATCGTCGTTATTCAGGCGGGAGCCAACGGCTAGCCGGGCTGACTGGGCCGACTTACGCAGAGGTGTTGAGAAGGGTGTAAGTTCCTGCCAGCACGGCAATGATTTCAGTGGCGTTGACCATTTTGAAGTTGACAGGTAAGTGATTAAAGAAGTACTCTCGAGTAGCAAACACTTCTCAAGACTGAGTCGAAACTAGGTTTAAGCTCAGGACGCGGATGAACGAGGGACAGATAAAGTTATGACTAGCTACATAATTCGGAGCGAAGACCGGCCGTTCAGGAGCTTTTAAGTCTGGTCTATTTCCAAAGCTCCCTCCAACAAGGCCCCATCTCCCGCAAGTCCAACCGCGCGGGTGTGCCCTGATGCCTGACTGGGTAAACTGCACAGCCCTACGTGATAGGTCGGGACATCTGAAGGTTGTCAATCCGGAAGGTGGCTCAAGGACCACCCAAGAAAGTCTAATATGAAGAATCACGCACGCAAGAGCGAACGGCATGGGTTCCGGGGTGGGCTCGCTTATGCCAAGCAATTAAACTCGCGGCAGCGCCCTGGGACCACCCTCGTCAGGGACGCTGAAAAGGCTCAAAGAGGGCTGCCCCTCCGTCGCCTGTCATCGCGACAACCCGTTAATCTGGTAAGGGCCACTGACTCGGTTGCACTCGTTTAACGGCTTTTCACCGAGATGAGTGGCGAGAATCCATGGTCTGAGCGTCCATTGCTGTTCCGGTTTGTTCTCGGGAGGAAGACTTGGAAAAAATGCGCATCGAAACAACTTTGTTTCGTCCACAGGTTGCGTTTTCTTGGCTTTAAAAGGCTGTGTAAGTCTTAAAACATGGAGAAAAAGGGGAGAACTGGTTGTTTTTATCTTGGCAGTCCTCTTGGCGCACGGGTGAGTCCATTGCGAAGTTCTTGGCAAAATGGAATGGTTACGGGTGAATGTGGGGGATTCGTGCGGGGTACATAACGGTCTTGTCGCTCTGAAGAATTGTGGATTCGAGTCTCGGTGATATTTTTTGAGGCCGGCGCTGCCGTTCAGGGTCACGATGGCAGCCGAACATGGGTATATGCCCGAAGCGACGCCTCGGAGCAACGGATGGACCGGAGCCTGCCAAGTCTATATACTGGAGTTCAGACCCCTAGCCACCTGCCATGTTGAACCCTTATTTATATCCATGAATGATGGAAAGGCAGAGAAGTATTCGAGACTGGAAGTCTTGGCTTGCTGACGGCATTGATCATAGCAGCAATGCTCACGATACCAGTTGCACCTGCCATCCAGGGCCTAGGCTTCAACCGAAAGATTCGGAGAAGCTCGGCTTCTGCAGCTAGCATACTGTAAAGATGAACAAGTGATCCATAGTCCGGACAATATCCGAGATATCGCGCAAAAAGGCCACGCGGCTGACTTTTAACTTGAGGTTTTCTGGCTGCTTGCGGAGCAAGTATCCGCCAGTCCCATGACTGACTAAAGAAAACTTCCTCATCTTGGACTGTGATGGTTTAGTCAACAATGCAGAAAGATCACAAACACGCCAGCCATGACCCTACGAGATCTCCGCTGGGAATAACCAATACTCATTCCCGGTTCAATGCCAATCAACAACCTTCGCACTGAAGAAATCTCGTTACTCGGCCTTAACTTCTTCGATTTATTGCCATCTACTAGGCTGCTCTAGCAAGCCACTCTCGGATACCCGCCGATGCCGGACGAGACAGCCCCTTGAACTTCTCATCGGCATAGGTCTCGTCGATCGCAGTTGCAAGACGTTGAGCCTTCAGAACTGTCAGACGCTTGTTGTTAGACGGGTGCGTCTTGCTGACGAACTCATTTGCCTCGGCCACCAACTCGTTCCTCTTCTTCCTCACAGCGGGCTCATCGGTCTTCTCGGCCGCGCAAAGGGCGCAGCCACACTCGAAGCCCCAGGTGGTCATCAACGCCGCTTGCCTGGCCTCGTAATCGCCGGACTCGTCGTAGCTGTGGAAGATTTCCTCGCCCTTCTTGATCTTTCGGAGGGAACGGATCACCATCAGGTCGCCGACGAATTCTCGCTTGGCGTTGGGGACGCAAGAGTGGTTGATGTAAGCGGCTCGGACCCAGAGGCCGGTGCTCGGCTTCGAGACACCCCCGAGATGCGAATCATCCGCGCCGAAGGCGTTGCGGCAGACAATGTCGTGTATCCTGAAGACGTCCACGACCGGGCCTTCTTCGGTCTCGGTCTTTGCCTTGGCGTCCCCGGTGTAGTCGCCGTAAAGATCCATGACCTTTGCGATGCGAGAAGGGTTGTTCAGGAGGTTCTGGGCGATGACCTTGGTGAGACCAATAGGTGATACCCTGATCTTCTTATCCCGCATGTCGTAGGTCATTCCTGTCAGAGCGTCGCTCTCGTGGCCCCATACAACGGAGGACGCCTTCTCAACCATGATGACTGCGCCATTTCCAATGTCGCGGGATGCGAAAAGACCACGTCCGCGTCCCTTGCTGTCCTTGACCACCGTCTTGCCGTTGAATGTGGCCGCATCAGCTCGCGGAGCAGCGCGGGAGAGACTCGCCTTAATCTTCGCAAAGTCGTGGCCGCCCTCCGTTTGCTCTTTGAGACGGAGAGCCAGTCTCTTGAGGTTCGCCTTTGCGCCCTTATCTTCGGGAGCAAGCTCAAGTTGCTTCTCGAAGAAGCCCTTTGCTTGTTCAAACTCTCCCAGGTTGTACGCTCCAGTACCGGCACGGAAGTAAGCCTTGCTGTCGAGCTCCTTGGACCGTTCGTCGTCCTTGCCAATAAGAGAAGTCTTGGCGTCCGCGATGGCTTCATCGTTTCGCTTCAGCAAAAGGTTCACATGCGCGCGGTTGCGGGCAATATCTCTGGCCAGGTCTGCGGTCTTCTCCGCATCCTTCTTGGCAAATTCCAGGCCCTGGGTATATCTTGCACGAGCCAGGCCAAGCTTCTTCTTCCCGAGAGCCTCATTGCCCAAGTCCTTGCACTTCTTAGCCATGTCTTCGGCTGATTTCTTGTCCGCTCCTGGTGCTTCATCCACGATGGGGACGAGATCCGAAGGATGGTCGATCCGGATAGTAGCCTCACCCTCCTCGGTGAGAGTAAAGAATGGCTCCTTGATCTCGAAAGTCTTTGCCGACTCAAGGATCTCCTCGCCGTGCATCGTCTTGTGAAGACAAATTTCCAACCTCTCTGTCTCCTTGGCCTCCTCGTCTTGCACCATAGTCCATGATCGGGCGGCGTGCGTGACCACTGGAGCTGCGCGCTTGACGATGAGTCGGCGGCCTGTGTGATGAGTTTCCATTTTGAGATCGGCAAGAGTCATTGGCTCCAAGTCTCGCAATGAGACTGCACATGGCGGGTATGTCTGTCCGACGCCAAGGGCAGGGAGCGTGTCTTGTCCACCGGATCCCGTCATGTTGCCCATGTCCTGCATGAGGGAGGCACCGGTAGCCTGGCTGATGGCGCCATGAGCATCCCTCAGCTCCCGGGGTTGACCGGCCTGCTTGGATCGGTTATCTAGGTTGTTCTGGACGGTGGTCCGGATCCGCTCCGCCTCCTGCTCAGTCAGGTGGACTGTGTTCGGGTTGTTCCCGGGTGCCATGATGAGAGAAGGCAGCTCGAGCTCAATATAAGGACAAAGTAACACGCGGTCCTGTAATCCCCCCAAGATATACTGCCTGGGGACAAGGCTGAGTTGAGAATCGAACGCCGCGAAAAAGGTTTGAGGGGAATATGTATGCCAGCTCCACAGCATCTCAAAATTCAATGTGTGAAATCTTTGCTGAAGTACGTGGTACTTGTTTGTCTGTTCCCACAAGATGTCGTCATGGGTGAGTGTACACCGTGCAGACAGTGCAGCGCTTGTAGGGCGTCCATTGAGGAGTTATCGTAGATGCGTCTTATTCTCCTACATAAACTCTTTTTCCAACCCGAGTAGGTCACCCTTTTTCTTTGCGAAATACATTCTCTCCTCCAAGGAAACAAAATGCTTTCTGCAAACTCAAGATCGAAAATCGGTCTTTGGCATGAGTGAGTGATATTGGATTTGCAACCTACCCTTGCCCGTATGGGTCGGGTATCGGTGTTTAGATCACATGTAAGTACACTTTGCACTGTATACACCAAAGGACCCCAGCCAGCTCCAATGTGCTGCACCCACCGGCCAAAATGACGATCCCTGATTCGTTCAGTTTACTTAGAGGTACTTCGTGGTTTACATTTCTGGAAGCCGACGAATCAGACAATGCCGTTTTCTGCGATGGTAATCCTGCGAGAGAAATACACATCCGTGGATAGCAACGTAACAGTCAACAGTCCTGAGTTTTGCCAGCTCTGAACATCTTAGGTCTCTTATTGCTAGGCAACAACCTTGCCATTGAACCGGCATGGGGGTCATCCATGCCCCATTCAGAATCTCGTCAGCATGCATACGTGAAAGAGTCAAGGGTTCGGATTGGTCGCCTGATTTTGTATGAGTGCAATAGCGCCATTCTCAGCTGTGTCATGTGTTGGTAATGTGTGCGGCACATAATATTCGCGAGGCTGTCGAAGATTCTGCATCTGAAAGTCCATTTACATTTCAGCAGTCCCTCCTGACTGAAGTGTTTGCATACTCAGTCCGCGACCACCTACTGTTGTTGGATTTGATAAGACTATCCACCTCTTTGTTAGATATGTCCGTACCTACCAGAGTGCAGCCTGGCCAGGCTACCCACGGACAGCCGGACCGGCCCCAAGAAACCATTCGAGCACGACCAACAGGTTTCGGTTGCAACTCACCCCTCGCCCCTTACTTGAAGTTCACCTTGGGACCGGGGCAACTATCCCGGCTGATTGTGCGGATATGGTAACACGACCAAGGTTCGCTCCTTTCTCTACCTGGAAACTATACAAACTGAACGTCTATGCACATTTGCTGACATCGTCTAGGGCGAGCTGATACTACTTCGTCATTGAACCCTTATGCGGACTCAAACACATGGTTCGCGCTAGGACTCATTCACGACGATGAGGAGCCCGACCTCTATGAGTTTCAAAGGAATGTTCGTGCATCATTCGACATTCGGTGCCACACTCATGAATGGAACCTTGGGGTTCCACTAGGGGATGACGAAGAGATGGACGACGTTCAGGCCTGGATCGAATCTTTGGCATTTATGGAAGGCGGAGAGATCGGCATATTCCCTCTTGCTCGCTATCCAGGCTGGACAAATCTGGTCTGGAGAATGGAAGTGGAGGTTTACTCTCACCTGACGGACGAGGACGACAGCGACGACAAAGACGAAACTACCCATCAAGCATCGGCGCATTCAACCTCGGTGGTGAAACTTGAGCTGGAAGAAACGGTGCATATCCTTCGACAATTGAACGATCTTGCCAACCAACTTGCCGATTTGCAAATCGGGGATCCAGAAATAATGAGCAATAGCCTCATTCCGAGGGTCTCAGCGATTCCTGGCGGATTTCATCCAATGCAACTCCGCAAGCTGGACATGGTCGCGAAGGAACTCGGCACGAGGGCCAAGGCTACCTCAAACATTACGGACCTTGACAACGCGATCTTCGTTGAGAAGCAGGCTCTCACCGGAATGACTCGATCATGGGGCCAGGTCTTTGAAACATGCTTGAAATTTGTGGCTGATATGGCATGGGAAAGATACAGATTGTCGCAGTCGTTGCCGCACCTGCACGAATGCATCCGTCACACAACTAGAATCCTAGAATTCATTCCGGGGCATGCTGCGACGAGACAGAAGCATGTTAGGAATCTCATTACATCCCTTGACAAATTGTTAGACGAGGAAGAGAAAACCCCAGGTCAAGTTGATGCGGTGGCTGTCATCAGGGTAACTCTGACAGGCGTTTTTGAAACGGACTCCGACTATTCACGAAATTCTTCACATGATCGGCTCGGGCTTATTCACAAAGTTTGAAAAAAGCAAAAAGCTTGACGACTTGGACGAGGCTATCGCAGTTGCAAGAATGGCCCTTGAGGCGACGCCATTGCACCACCCGAAAAGGATAGAAAATCTCAAGAACATAGGACTTGGTTTGAGGCACAGATTCAGCCTTACCCAGGAAATTGCGGACAATGATGCCACAATTTCGCACAGCCGAGACGCTTTGGAGAATACACCGACTGGGCCGGATCGAGAGCTCTTCTTACAGCACCTGGCGCAAGGGCTCGAAGTCAGATTTCTACTCGTTGGAGCTGTGGCGGATTTGGAGAAAGCCATGGGCTTTACAAAGGAACTCATCTCGATTTTGGGAGAGAATAACCCTCGAAACGTTCGGAGACTGAATGTCCTCGGAAGTATGTACGGATTGAAATTCGGGAGAACCCAAGCTCTTGAAGATATTGAGAGCGGCATACGTGTAGGAAGATTGATGGTCAAACTGACGCCATATAACGACAAATATCTGGCAGACAGGCTACTCAACCTTGCAACGAACCTGAACCATCGAGCCAGATCAACAAAGGATGCCCGGGATCTTGATGAAGCCATCAGTCTTGGGCAAGAAGCCCTCGTCATCTCTTCTACTGATCACGAGAATCGATGCGCGCAACTGAACAAGGTTGGAAATCTTCTTGGGGAACGATTTCTCATTACAGACAATTTGGCAGATCTGGATCAATGCATCGAATATCTCAGTGATTGCATTGAGGCTGCCCCAGCCGTGGATCAAGGGAGGTTAAGTACATGGCGGCTTAACCTGGGCGCACGACTTGACCTCCGATTCTCCAAAACAAGTCAAGAAGCCGACCGAGATCAGGCAAGATCTTGCCCACGTACGGTCTTGGGTTCTGAGCAAGCAGATATTACCACGCGGGTATACGCCGCTTACCATCTTCTACCAAAAGGATACATGGACCAAGATAAACATGAGGCATACTTAGACGCCAAGACTGCGGTGGACCTCATTCCCATTTCGGCGCCTTTGTCTCTCCAGCCTGAAGATAAGCAATTCTTCTTGACGCGTGTTGTAGGATTTGCATCCGAGGCCGCAGCAATCGCACTCAATGACAATCAGAGTCCCGTCACTGCCATCGAACTTCTTGAAACCGGTCGTGGAGTTCTAGCTAGCTTCTTCCACGATAGGCGCACTGATCTTTCCTTGTTTGAGGACAGGCATCCCCAACTAGCCCGTTCTTTTATCGAGCTCCGAGCCGAGTTAGACAAACCAACATACCGTGACGTGTTTGGAGAACTGGAATCGTTTGATGATCCGTCAAGCCAGCTCAAGATTCCGGACACCGATAAACGTCACAAGGCGAGCACAGAAATGACGGTGCTTTTGGACAACATCCGCACGCAACCGGGCTTCGACAGGTTTCTGTGTTCTGCGATTGGAAGACAGATGCAAGATGCTGCAGAGGAGGGCCCAATCATCATCATCAACATCAGCTCCCGACGGTGCGATGCTCTGATTATAGAGCAGTCTTGGATACACGTCTTGGGACTGCCGAAACTCACCAAAGTTGACGTTTTAAGACGCGCAGATGACGTCCGATCGTTCAAAACACTCATGTGGCTTTGGGACTCAGTGGTCGGCCCAGTACTGGACAGTATGGGCTTCTCAAAGCAGTGCATCGACAAAAATTGGCTACATGTCATATGGATCCCTACCGGGCCTCTCCTCCGGTTTCCGTTGCATGCTGCTGGATACCACCTGGCTCCAGGCCACAAGACCGCCATGGATAGGGTTATATCCTCATACAGTTCGTCTGTGAAGGCTGTTGTGATATCTCGTCAACAGCACTGTCATGAATCCGGATCGGATGTCGTATTGATTGGAATGGGAGAAACCCCCGGGCTACCACACTCAAGCCTTCGCTACGCAACAGCCGAGACTGAAGCGGTTCGTGGTGTTTTCAACTCGACCTCGCTGAAGTGCGTGCAACCCACTTCTATTAAAAAAGACGTCTTAGCAGCTTTGGAGACCTGCCGCATCTTCCACTTTGCAGGCCACGGAGAGTTGAATCGGCTTGACCCGCTCAAGAGCCACATTCTGCTAGATGATTGGATGACGCAACCTTTAACCACTGCAAGTCTCATGGAGAAGAATCTTGCATCTAGCCCACCATTCCTAGCCTACCTGTCGGCATGCAAGACAAGCGAAAACTCCAACCAGGATCTCGTGGACGAAAACATTCATCTGACAAGTGCATTCCAGCTGTCAGGCTTTCGACATGTGGTTGGGACTCTGTGGGAGGTCGACGATGAATTGTCTTCAGAAATGGCGAGATTGACGTACGAGTTTCTGATCACGAAAGGGATATCAGACGCATCCGTAAGCGGTGGCTTGCATTTCGCTACGAAAGAGCTTCGAGACATCTGGGCGGCGTCCGTAATTGCGGACTTGAAGCAGAGGGAGAAGGCAGACAAAGTCAGAGACGCCATGCATGATGACGAACAGGAAGGAGATACGTCGCATCACGGAGAGGATCTTAGGTCCATGAGAGATATCAGAAGAACCGAAATCATCTTACCGCTCTGGGTGCCACACATTCATTACGGCCCTTAGCCCAGGTTTTTCCGATAGATGGTCGGTCAAATTTGTATGCACTGGTTCCGGAAGCGTCCGTATGACGTTGACTTCTCTCTCAGGCTATATTTTTCTTTATTTCGACACATTATCTGAGCTTCAATATCGCTGCATAGACTGCAATAACATCCATGGATTTGACCGATGCAGTTCGCAATAGAGTTTTGCCATCCGGGCGGATGCTTCTAGCTGACCGGGCGGGCATTGGATATATGACAATAGTGACGATACGATAATAACGATTATAACAACGACGACGACGACGACGATACTAACGTCGACGACAATAGTGATAATAATAACAATAACGACACCGATAATAATAGGGAAAGAGAGAAGGATAGGAACAGCGACTATAGTAGTAAAATTGTATCAAGATAAGATAAACTGTTAGTATCAATATAGGTAGTTATTCGCCCGGTTAACTAGTAGTATCCGCCCGGATAGCAAGACTCTCGCAATATTAGTCTCAAGCCTTCATAATCATTTACTCTTTCAACCTATCATTTTCGATTCTATGTTATTCATCCTACTTTTGATCGTGAAATTTCACAACTATCTTGCTATTTTGATAGCCGACGACCTCAGCAGAGAGAAGATCCTTCACTACCCAGTCAGGCTTTGCTGCAGATACCTGGTCTTCCGAATGCGTCGTCAGAAGCGCTAAAACCTTGCAACCTGCTGCTTTAGCCGCAATTATGCCCGCTGGACTATCCTCAATAACCAGTGTCTCATCTGATCTCCCTACCAAGCCAAGCTGCTTTAATGAAAGTTCATAGCATGAAGGATCTGGCTTCCCGTTCTCCACCAGCTCTGCTGTGACAAGGTGATCTGGCACGGGGAGTGACAGTTGCGAGATCCATCTTGAAGCGAGGGGCTCTGACGCCGATGTCACGATAGCCCACGGGTTGTGACACTGCGCCACAGCCTCAAGGAACTTTCGAGCTCCGGGTATCTCTTCTACCAGATTTCCGTATAGCTCCGGCAACTTTGCTTCAACCTCTTTAACGTCTAATCTCAAGTCAGCCGCCGCTTTTATTAAGAACACACAAAGAGTCTTACACTCCCATTTTGCCTTGTGAGGCGCCACCAGCTTCAACGTATCAATGCTTCGCCGTCCGTGAGATGTTTCCAAAATAGTCTCAGCTGGAACGCCGATTTCGTTTCCAATTCTGGAGTGCAGTCAGCGTAGGCGATTACACCCATAGAAATCCGGTGAACCGTACCTGTGCCAGTGCTCAACGATGGCAGAGGTCGTGTCGATGATAGTCCCGTCCATGTCGAACAAAGTCGCTGCGAAAGAAGCCGTGCCCGTAAGGGCTTCGGCGTTATTTTGGGAGCCCATGGTCGATGCCGAGGTCTCGTAATGAAAGCTTGAATCAGCTGGTGGCTAAAGAACGCGGGATTATGATCAGAGATCTTCTGGGGTATACAGCAAAAATACTTGTAAAACCAATAGTAGCATGAAATCTTGACGTCGTATTTTAAGAAGCAGGAGAAATTGACTGTGCAGCTGCACCAGGTTGCATGTGGCTCGGATTTACCGAATGGGGAAGGTGGGACAAGGGTTGGCTGCACTTCGCTTCCTAGCATGTGTTTCCCAACTTAGCCAAATAGATCTCTTAGAACAAGATTTATCTCAGTATGGGCGTTGATCTTGAAACTTTACATATCGTTTCCTCTTTGATAATACTTAGCAGACTCTCCTGTTGGAAATATTCTATACATCTTGAGAATTCCCCGCCTTGTGTCAATATCTAACCACTTTTCCGAATCCTAAATGACTGCCTTTCTACTATCCCATGATGAACCGACAATTAGCTTCCTTCTTCCGGTATCGAGTATCGATTTACAATGCCACCATCGCTCAACTGAACAACCTCATTCTTTTCTTCGTCCGAATCTTCATCCTCGCTCGAGTGGTTGCCTCTTGTGGTTTTGGCCGTGACCTCTCGTCTTTTGCGTTCCAATGCCGATAGGGTCACGCCAGTGCCCCTGAAGTAGTGGGACATTTCCTGCAGCTTCTTGCAGAGATAGTCAAAGTCAGTGCCACTAACCAGAGAAAACAAGTCTTGGGGCCGATTCTGATTAGACTGTTGCTCTTCCAGGATCGTAGACGCCGCGACGAACAAGCCCTGGTTGATGAACGGAACAGAAAGAAACCCGGTTTTGTCGATGAGCTCAGCAGTGTTGAGCATTTGAACAATCTTTTGGCATGCCACCAACACAGCCTGTGGCTGGGGTGAGTTACTCGTACCTTCTGGTGAATGCTTTCTCGACAGGAGGATTGTGAAAGTGTAAAAGTAGACATGAAGCATCAAGAACTGTCCCGCCTGCCTACATAGGCTGGCAGCTTTGTAGTTGTCGATGCTAAAAGCCAGATCCAGCGGAAGGGAATGGTACAAATTCATGATCTGATCTCTGACCTTTTCCAACTTTGATCTCTGAGATGAATCGTTTGAAGAAGTGGAGTCCTCAACATTCTCTTCACTCCGTGTCTGGTTCAGAAGTTCAACTGCTTCTGAATAGAGCAGCATAAACCGGGCTATCTCAGGGAAAATCTTGTTCTTCATTGACACGTGCTCCTGGAAGTCCAGCTGCGCGGCTTTCATGTCGTCTGTTGTTGGGATTGGCACTTCGACCTCTGAGCGCTTCAGAGTGGGTGGTCTGCCAGTAAGCAGGGATACAAACACATCCAAGAAGAATACCGTCCAGAACAGGATCAGTTTGGATTTAGCTTGGTGCAGTTTGGACATCTCATCGCTAAGGAGACCTTTGCCGTCAGGACTGAGAGGCGAACGATCCCAGAAAGCGACGCTGGAAGGGTTTGCTTCTTTCTCGGGACATCGATGCAGCCCCATATCCTGAGCCATCCGGATAGCCATACCAGAGAGCATCCATAGTCCTGAGATAATTGTCAGCCTTTGATCGTTGCCTCCTTTTGATATCAGAGAAAGTTTTCTTACCAGCTTCGTTGTTATCTCCAAATTCCGCCCAAGCTAAGATCAAGATTCCAGACACAATGTCTGTGGTGGGTATGGCTAGAAGTGTAACAAGCTGCTCTTTGGCACGCTTCAGAAAATAGGTCCCATTTCGCCATGGACTGTCTGCGCCTACATCCACTGTGCCAGGCGACAATTCAACGGGACAAAACCTCATCGTCAAAGCTGCAATGGCATTCATCAACAAACTGGACGCCTGTCCTGAGCGAACATGACCATCCAGAATCTTGGGTTCAACGAATGGGAAATAACAAGCCAGCCGGTTGAAGAATACCTCAGCAATCTGACGTATACCTTCCAGAGGTAGATCATAGGGCGAGTCGTCAGACATTGGCGTACCTGGTGACGGATGCGTTGCCTTTACCCTTCGAGAGTACAACGTCATCGAAGTTCCAGGGCGGCTACTAGCATCGGACTCACCACTCCCTTCTGGAGATCGAGTGTTGACGGCAATAGAGAGCTTTCTCATTCCGGGCAGAACAGCAGTGGGCCCGAATCGTCGATACAGCCGCAGTCGCATCGCTTTGGCTGGTGGTCTGGGCGTCGCTGCAGGATCATCTGACTGTCGGTTGGCCAGGATATTATCCCAGTTGATGTTGCTCACGTTCTCCATTCCATCGAAATCGAGCACCAAATCTTGGATTTCCGACCAGGCATATGACATGTCCATGTCGTCGAATGAAAATAATTCCCTAGACGGAGGCTGAATTTCTGAGTGCACTTCGGATGGCTCCTTGTTTGCATCAATGCCCAACTCAGGCACCTCGACATGAATGCTGTTGAAGTTCTCCGGCATTTGCGCGCTCTTCTCTCCTGGATGTCCGCTCAGATCCTCACCTCCTGAAGCTTGGCTTGCCGCCCTGTTGGGAAGATGAGAATCCTCTGAAGCAGGCTGCTGGCTGTCCCCGATGACCATGATGCTTTCCATGGGTAGCTTTCCGGTATCTCGCGATGTATCCTTTGTGCTTTGCACCTTGCGCCTTTTTCTCTTATCGACTGTGTCCCAGCGACACTCAATATCCGCTTGCTGGCATGCCTGACACCGTGGGGGCTGGGATTGCTCTCCCAGTGTGGAAGATCCTTCTTGACCAACGGACACATGGCATTTCACCTTCCTAGACCGACATGTCTGGCAGGCTGTTGATGGAAGCCCGGATCTTCGCCGAATACGTTCATTGCGAGTGCTGGAACTGAAGTCGTCGACAGTAGACACGCGAAATGAGCCGATTTTGCTTCTGCGGACGGGCGATGGCTGAGCACCTTCTGATGCGGGCTCGCTGGGTAACATGGTGGCTTATTTTGGCATGTTCAATTCGTCAAACATTTTGCAGGATGCTGAGGGAAGGGCGACCGCACTCCCAGTTGCATGTTTGCGTAAAAACGATCGTGACGTGGAATTACGGCGGGGCGAAGTAAGTCGGCGCCGTCACAGAGCTCCGAGTCACGTGTCAGCTCTACACTCGTTTTCGCTGCTTATTCGCACTACCTTAACCGCATAATGACTGCTACTAGCAAAATTAGCATGGACATTTGACCTTATGTAGTTTGTGGTGGTCACATGCATGTTCGACGCTTATGAGAGGTGTGCTTAGAATTTCTTCGAATCGTGCGTGGTGCTAGCGATACTCGTACTATGCTGGAAGAACTGACCAATGTTCTGGAATATGACAAGGTCTCTATAAATGTTTTTACAGAGAATTACAACGCTTTTCTGTCTACAGAATGTCCAGTGGAATGGGGCGAACCCGACTGCCCTAAGCATTGTTCGCTATTTTCCTCTGTTGCGCTCGGAGTTACTGCATTGGGATACCCGAGAGTCCCAGCTGATGAGGTCCCATGCCCCAAGAACTGAATCTCAATGCTTCAGATGGCCCCGTAAGTCGAGCCCATGGAAAATTTGAAAGCAGATTGACTGGTTATTAGTTTGATTTTCCATGCACTTAGTTTGTACGTGAAAACGAAGAATGTCGGCTAAAGCTTCGAGTTCTTTTCTTTAGTGAGCCCCGAGCCACTACATGCGGTATACCACAGAACGTACCTTAGAGACCCTCACCATAATTCACGTGAATATTGATCGCGTCAAGAGGACCACTATCATCAATTTGAGATATTCCAGATAGGGTTTCTGGTTCCTCCCTCTTCCCCTTGTCGTCCATCACCCACGAAACCGTAACGGGGCTGATGTGATGGATGTTCTCAACGAAAGTGATGCAGCTTTCCGATCGAAGCTTTTTCCAGATTCGCTCAGTGACTGCGAAGACAATCGTAGCAGAATGTGAAGTGGATCTTTTGGGGAGTGTCAGATATCCGCGGGGCTTCACAACCCACTCCCCGAGAGCTCGAACAACGTCTTCGTTTACGTCTTGGAGGGTGACTTTCGCATATACTCCCCCTCGCGCTGTAATGGGACGTTCTTCGCCAAATTCGGTGTCTTCATGCGCGCGGTTAAGCAAGTCTGCGAACTCCCTGCAGCGAATACCCGCTGCCTCCTCGGCGGTTGTTGACTTTGCTTTGGAAGCCATCGCTTCTGTCTGGAATCTGAAGGAAATCGGACGTCGATCGGATGTGGAAGAAAGATGGTGATGTGCTGCTTCAACCATTTGAATGCTTATTATTCTTTTTTCATATATGTCTCTGACTGTATTGAGAGCACAATGGTTGCGAAAGATCTTTCTGCAACCCTCGAAGAAGTCTGAGAGGCGTCTTCATGACTTTTTGACTTCTACGAACTATCCAGGTCGCAAGTTCACCAAGGTCATTCGCAATAGAACAGAGTAATGACTGACCTGGCTCTCAATCGTTCTGAGGCAATCCGTTCAATACGGATCTCAATAAGCATAGCAGCACCTTTAACGATAAGCGATGGGTAAGAAATGGCATCTTGTTTTATGTATGAATTTAATGTACAGGCTTGATCTGATTGTAATGCTGTCGTTAAACCCGCGTCGTGGTACATCCGATTTACCCGGATGGGCCAGAAATTCAAGCCATTCCACTAACAAGCTTAGAAACACCCACCGCCACCTCTGCTGTTGTAACAGTTGGTAAAAACGGCAGCAACTTTGTTGCTCAAAGGTCAAAAGTGCCGCTCCATTGAGCACCGGCCTAGGCGCAGCAGGCCACGCCAGCCACAGCATGGGGAGCGCTGCCACCTGGAAGCCGGTAGCGGAAGGCCTGTCTACCGAAGTTGGCAGGAACGTTTTCAGCGCCACCCATGGAGATTCCTGCAACGAGAAGGATGGCAGAGAGGACTGGGAGCCTCATGACGTCTATCAAAGAGACTAGTGGGTGGGCCATTAAGGTTGAGCCATGGTGTGGTCAGCCTTGCAAACGGGTAATTCGGGAAGGTGACTCAAGATAGACTTGGTGGGCTGGAGGAGTCGTCTGAAAAGGAGTGGACGCTGTCTGTTGGACTGCGAAAAAGATGGGACAATCAAAAGGTATGATTCCAAGTGAATCGTTGAGGGTGTCCAAAAGGTGTAGCAAACCGCAAAACATATCTGCTTAGGTATTCGAAGTTACTATTTATCATGGTCGTGCTCAGGAAAAGGAAATCCTTATTTATGCCGTGGAGAATAGGGGCCAAGGACTGATGTTGAAGACATACATGCAATTATGATGCCTAGTTCTCCGTATGTTGAGTTGATTCCTTCAGATCCTCTACAATGAGACGAGACTGAAGTATTCGGATTGAATGCCTGTGACTGTTACCACAAACTCGGTGAGAATGGAATAAAATTTGCATGATTATAATTGCGCGAGATCCATCGATCCTATAAGAGGCGTTCCCCAGCCGGTGGAGTTGGGAAAGCTGACTCCAAATCATGACAGGATGCATTTGGCGTTGTGTCAGCCGGTGAGGCAGGCCACTTAAAGATAAATCAGTTCATGAGGTTTCATGAAATTAATAGACGTGATTTTAGAAGTTATCAGAGACACTTTCCATCGTTTCTATCGTGCGAACATCACTTAGCTAGAAACGTTGAATAATATGAGAGTCTGTTTTGAATATCACGCCGCCCGGTTCCGCTGAGTGTACTCTGAAAGGAAGGTTCCTGTAGGATTCGTTTTTATCCTTGTAATCCCCCGGAAACACCGTTTGAGTGATTCAATTAAATGCGCGACCGAACCCATTCTTCGACGTTAATCGACATTCCCACTGTCATGAGGGAGATAGTTTGCTATTGCATGGCGCCCTGGTTCCCCAGCTATGAAAGTTTCAGTTTCTGCGCTTAGTGATGTTCAACCGACGAGGAAGATGTTGTAAAAGTGCCGCTAATCGGGCGCTATTCGGGCACATACCTCGGGCTAGCTTACTGGGCGGACTATTGCTGATATCTTATATCTGTACAGTAGCTTGATAGCTATTAGTGCCATCACTTTCGTTGCCGTCGTCGTCGTCGTCGTCGTTGTTGTTATTGTCCTTATCGATCTATATTCGTCTTCTATCCTGTTACCCTATCCCCCCGCCGTTTCAGAATTTCTTAGAAATTAGTGTCAAATTTCCCTAGAAACCCTCTTCTACGTGCTTTACGTTTCCATGCATCCAAACCTCACTGCACGCGGATTTGTGGCGAAATGCAGGCCAAGCGTGTTCTCTCAAACGTTCTTCCTTTTATCGGCCGAAAAAGGAGAAAGCCTACTCATTGAGACATGAGACGCAGATGCTAATCAAGGTCGGCGATTACTCTGTATGCATGAAGACCTTCGCGGGGCTAGTGCTTATGTGCAGATTCAGCCACTACCATGCATCATAGGGCACCTCAGCGGTTGTGATGAATTTTCTGCGACATGTACATGAACTTGAGAAACCTATCAGAGCGTCTTACTGCCCGAATTGGCATGAAAATCTCCGTTCCCGGGGCATTGGCTTTCTACGCGTTCCCCACGCCACATTGCAATAACATCAAGTTAGAGAAAGCTGAGGACCCAACATTGTAGTGTTTGGGGACAACCACGAGCAACGAATATTTTCAGTGAATATCTCTTTTTAATCACCATCGAGTTTGTACAAATTCGGGTGAGCATGCATGAGCGGCTTGAACTTGAGAATTTGTGCATAGCTCTAACTTAAGGCCGGATATTGGCTGGCTTAGAAGTAGAAGCATTAAGCCAGGGTTTCTTGTGCAACCCACACTCCAGATAGCCTTTTCGGACTGGAGACAACGGGCTCAACGCATTGCCCGAAGCACATTGGAACAAGGCGAGACCTTTTTGGAAAGCCCGCATCTAGCAGACGAGAGCGGGTTCTTGAACGGCGAGCCCGGGGAAATACCAGAAAGATTCAACACCCGGCGACCATACCGCTGACAGACAATCTAGTACCAATAGTCCCATTGAGGGCAGGACGAGTTGATATGTAGAATTATAAAAGACAAGATGTTGCCACAGCTGGTACTTTTGGTCTCAGCAGCATCAACAAGATTTCACTAACTGAGAACACCTCGTTTGAAACACTTGACTCTGTGAATTCATCACTTATTATCTACCGCGATAAGTCGCCAACTCAACATGTTCACCCAAAGCTTCCGGTCTGCTTCTTGGGGCCTATCACTTCTGTTCTCTGCAAGTGTTGCATTGGCCCAAAGGAGCCCATACGAGAACCTCGTGCTCGCCGATTGCGGCATCGGTCTTGGGGCAAATGGCGGTTCTACCTCACGCGAGATGATCTACTACCCGGGCGATGTCTGGACGGGCAACGGGCTAGATACCTACAGACCGACCATGATGGTCAACGTGCCGTGGAGTGGATCGTACCCTTGGGGCCAAGCTGGCGGTCTCAGCGCAACTATGCCCAATGGTGACGTCTTCACCGTCCACATTGACCGCAGCATCAAAGATCCCAACCCAGCTGGCGATGCTTGGCACAAATACGAGTTGGACAAGCCGTTCAAGTGCTATTCGTACCACTGGGAC